TTCCCTCCCCGCCCCGCCGCCAACTTTTGCTCCCTTTCCCTACCGCTGTGAGCACCTCCGCCGTGAACACTGCTGTCTGCTCTGAGCCCCAGTACTTGAGTTCTGTAACCTCAGATCCTGTGTTGGATTGGCTGTCCTGGGCTCGCCATTCTTCTCCCGGTCCTCGTGTCTCATGATACAGCGCTTCGTACATCGTATCACCCTGGTTAGCGCAAGGTACGGGTCTTCCGCTCCTTACTTTACCCATTACTTCTCTTTTTTCACAGTAACAAGGGCTCGCAGAGTCCTCCAGTGATAGCTATTTTGAAGAAAGTTCCCTCTCTTTTCCCTCGATTTGGGGGAGCTGGGGTCTCATCTTCTTATAAGAATGACAAGGTGTGTATGGATTTGAGCCTCCTCAAGCCTGGGCCCGACCCCACACAGTGCTCACGGCTGGCAGAAGACTCAAAGTTTGGAATCCAGAACTTGGATCTGACCTGACGAACCCAGGCAGAACCCCCTCCTAGGTGACAGTGGCAGATTTCTGGCCAGTCCTGCCATAAGCAAAATGCCACAACCTTTGGGCTTGGTGGGAATTGCAAAGCCCTGGTATTTTGGAGGAAAGTAGGAAGGCAGAGGGACTCAGCAGGGTCCTGTTGACATTAATCATGCTCCTTGACTTGGCAACACCACCCCTTACCTCTCTGTCTTTCTAGCTGTGTTCCTGAAGATTACTCAAAAGTGTGGGTCCCTGGTCTGCATCCCTGGGGAATGGAGAGACTCCATTAGAAAGAAGGGTGGGACTAGGGATGGCTGTATGAATCCCTTTCACTCCCACTAATGGGGATACAGGATCCACAGCCTTCCGCGGTCCACCTGCCCTCTGCACTGTCCCAGGAACTGCCCCAGGTCCAGAGTCCTCCTCAGTCTCGATTCAGACCACTGAGCCGAAGCCTTTGTTCTCTCCTGTTTTCTGGAGAGATGACCAAGGCATTGACAGCCTTAATCCTCCAAGGGTGTTCAAATCAAACCCAACCCTAACCCCAATCTCCCCACTCCCGGAGGGTAATGAAAACAGCGACTGTGTTGAGGGCGTGAAAGCAGAATGTGCGTTTCCGAGGCCGTACAAGTGAGACTCAGGCCAACCGCTTTCAGCCTCAGGCTTGGTCACCAGGGAATCCAGATACCGAATGTCCTCCAGCCTCCGTTCCCCACCTCGTCTCTCAGGAAACAAGACACATAGAGCAAGTGTTTTGGTTTGCTGCCTCCCTCACAGTGTCCCCATTCCAATTCATCAGGGGCTCAAAGAGCTGGCATGTCTTTTCAAGTGGCTGAGCAATAAACTGCCTTCTTTTCTTCGTCTTTCATGACCAGCCCAATAAAAAAATAAATAAATCACTCAGCTCCTTTCTTGCTAAGTGATCCCCAACAAGTATCACCCTGGCCCATTGGTCTTGACCAGAGAAAGGCCAGCTCAGCAGAGATGGAGCCACAGATACAAGGGCCTTTCCAATGAGGACGCAAATGGAGGACACTGGAAAGACTAAAAGAGAATGTAGGGGAGTGACCTGATTGTTGCAGGCGACCAGAGATGTCCCACATCAGCTGCCTTACGTGGAACTCCCCAAGGTCAGGACTGCTGCTCTCGGCAGTAAACCAGCAATGGTCAATTACCATTCCATCACCTCCTAGGAGAAAGTGGCATTATCTCTGTCCTGTAAATGGAGACTTTGACACACATTCAAGAACCAGGGAAAATCCAGTATAACCCAAGAGCCGTAGGCTGGTTTTTGGTTCTTCCAAAAATTAGCCTTTGCCAGATGCTCAATCCACTTCAAGACCTGCAGAGCATTTTCTGTGTTTCTGACATTCCTAGGCACTGTGGGAAAATTAGAATGGGCAATCTGCCCTGAGTTGCTTGCTATTTCCTAGAAGAGGCAAGATATGGACACTTTTGACAATTGGGAAACAATACACCCGCGTGTCCATCAACCGATGAATGGATTAATAAAACATGGTATATCCATACAATGGGATATTATTTGGCCATTAAAAGAGATGAAGTACTGAGACATGGTACAGCATGGGAGAACCTTGAAAACATCATGCTAAATGAAAGCAGGACATGAAAGACCATATATTGTATGAGTCCACTGTTGTGAAATAGCCAGAAGAGGGAAATCTAGAGACAGCGGAGATCAGTGGTTGCCTGGACTGGGCGGAGGGAGAGGGGATACTGAGTGACTGCGCCTGGGTACAAGGTTTCTTTTGGGGGTGATCCAAATCTCTGAAGTTAGATTGCATAACTGTGAATATACTAAAAAGCAAAACAAAGCAAAACATTGCATTATACACTCTAAATGGGTGAACTTTATGGCATGTGAATTCTGTCTCAATCAAGATGTTTGAAAAAGCAGCAGTACAAGATGGTATGGAACTGAGTGCAAATGTGTGGTTCAGACAGTAACTGACAGAAAGCGTGGATAAAGACACTTGTGCCAGAGGAAGTCTTCCTGGACGTCTTTGATGGTGCACTTTGAGAAGAGTGGGGGGCTCTAGAGAGATGGCTGACAGCCTCTAGCAGAAAGAGGTTTTGCTGTGTGTGGGCAGAATACAGCTGGTGCAGAGAAGAGACTTGTAGTGGAAGGTGGGGGGAAGAAGGTCACATGGGGAGGTGATCACGGGGTTAGAATTCATCCTTTAAAATGTGTAGAACCTTGATCAGGAGAATGAATGAGGCGTTCTCACCAAATCCTGGAGCCTCAGGGTGACTCTGACCTCCAGGGGCGGGGAGAAGAAAGCTGGCTCTTGAGGAGATTTATAGGTCACGCAGAAGGGTTTTGTGTTCGCATCCTGGTTGGGATGAGCGGGAAGTTCCAGACTGGATCCACCAGGGGTTGGCCTCGGCAGGGCCCGTCTCCCTTCGCTGCTTCTTCCTGGGGAAACGCCCGTGTTCTCCTGGCTACCTTTTTGTTTCTGGGACCTGTCAAAATAGGCCGTGATGCCAACGGCTAAGAATTTGAGTTTACCGGAGTTTACTGTTGGACCAACGGCTGGTCCAGATCACGAGCTGCAAAATATTTAATCAGTGAGGTCACTGCGGGGAAGTGAGATTTGATCCCTCGGAGCGTCTTCTGTTTTCCTTCAGGGTCAAGTCTGAATGGCTTTTCTTCTACCTCCTTTTGGCAAAACCACAAACCATTAAAAATGGAAAGAATAACTTTTTTTTTTCCCCAAGACCCACAAAGGCTTATTTTTAATCAGTTGTGCGGTCTGTTCACCTTTGTGGTGTTCCTCCTGACCTGATTCACAAAAATAAATGAGTCCTGGCCGAGTGGTTTCCAAACCCTTTTCAAGCAGCAACCCCTTGGATGACTCAATATTTACCCCAAATTTAAGACGGAGCCCTCAGGTGGAAAGGCGCTGGGGCCCGCATTCTTGGCCCCTGAGCCCCATCCTGGCCCCTCTGGGGGAAACTGCCCTTAGTCCCTAGCCCCGGCCAATGCCTGGAAACTCATTTCTTCATTGGTGAGGTTTCCAGCAGAAACCTATTGAGGATCTCAGAAAGAGTCGGTTAAAATGAGGTGGTGAAGGAGAAAAGGGAGTCTGGAAGGAGGTGATGAAGAGATGATGTTATCACATTATTCAGGAAGCGCCGTCCCAGGTGCTGGGGTTTGAAGGTAAATGTGACATGTCCCCACCCTCGCAACTCAGTCAAGAAAGGGGACTGTCCTTCAGTGTGACCAGTGCCATGGGAGGGCACCTGACCCAGACTGGGGTTAGAAAGGGATGAGAGCAGGAGGGTGTGGAGAGAGCCCGGCAGAGCCTCAGGCATCAGGGGACCTTCAGGGGTCCCCGACAAGCCTCTGATGGTGAACCGGTACCCGAGAAGGAAAGAAGGCTGTAGAAGGTGCTAGAGACTAGTCAGGTGGTGGACGCGAGCTCAACAGGTGTGTTCTTCTGATGGGGGATGGGCAGGGAGCAGAGGATGCCGGGAGCAGGATTGCAGGTTTGCACGTCCCAAGAGTTACTAGGCGCTGCCTTTCCCCTTGTTAGTGAAGACAGGGGTGCTCAGAGGACCGGTCAGCACGGGACGGTGGACTCACCGGTGTGTCCAGCCTCAGGCCTTCTTGTTAGCCTGACTGTGGTGTTGCTGGGCAAGGGGGTTGGGTGTGTGGCCCCCCGGGCTCCAGGGAAGGAGCGGTGAGGGGGAGAGGCTGTGAGTGCCAGTGCGTTGGGGGAGGACAGGGCAGAGGAAGGTGGGGGGCCCCAGAGGGGGAGCCCTGCAGTCGGGTGAGGAGAAAGGAGCTTTGTGTGCAGTGGCTTTTGCTGCCAGAGCAAGTGTGGGTTTTGTGGCAGCTGCAGGCCTTCGTTCCTAATATAGTCAAAAGCTCCGAATCCGCTGGCCCGACACCTGTTAGCTAGAGGCTCCCCTGAGCTGACCTCTCCTTGGGCTGTCTCTCCCACATATGCATCCTATGCACTGACTCTGCGGGGCTCAGTCCCACCCCCAATGCTGAATCACTGGAACCCAGAGCCCCCCAGTGACAAACTGCCTTCTCTCGACGTGAGTGGGGGCTCCTGGGTTTGGGGAGGCTTGTTCAAGGGCTCCTAGGGCGAGGGGTGAGGCCGCCCCAGCCAGAAGCAAACGGAGTGTTCCTCTGGGAAGCCACCATTCTTGGCAAAGAACTATGTGTGTGGGGAGGGGGCACTCTGGACACACACAAGTCACCCCTTGGATGGAGGGAAATGAAACGTGAACCGCTTAATGCTGCTGCAGCTGCTTCCTAACTTTGCCTCTTTCTCCCTTTGCCCTCTGGAGGACTGGGGTAGAGACGCAGTGATGGGGGTGCCCAGATAGCCAGCCGTCTCCCGACTGACCCGTGTTCCCGTTCCCACTTCCCCAGCTCTGTAACCCCTGGGATGTTGCAGCTCAGTGCGGCTGGCGTAATGCCCTTTGTCTTTCCCCTCCTCCTCCCCTGCCCCGCGCGCCCTCTTCGCGGCCCCTGTGGTGGCTGCAGCCCAGCCCTGGGGAGCCCCCGTGGAAGTGGAGTCCCTCCTGGTCCACCCCGGTGACCTGCTGCAGCTCCGCTGTCGGCTGCGGGACGATGTGCAGAGCATCAACTGGCTGCGGGACGGGGTGCAGCTGGTGGAAAGCAACCGCACCCGCATCACAGGGGAGGAGGTGGAGGTGCGGGACTCCGTGCCCGCCGACTCCGGCCTCTACGCCTGTGTGACCAGCAGCCCCTCGGGCAGCGACACCACCTACTTCTCCGTCAACGTCTCAGGTTGGTAGCCAAGTCCACCCTCGCCCTCCCCTCCCCCCACCCCTCCAAGCCTCTCTGCTGGTTTCAGGGGGAGCCAGACCTCCTCCCCTTCCGTGATCTGCCCCCCACTCTGCTTCAGAAGCTGCCGCCCACTAACATCGCTCCCCGCCCGCCGCGTGGCTTAGCTCTTGGGGGGTGACCAATGGTGCGGGCCTCGGGCCAGAGAGCGCGGGCCTCCGGGCTCCACCCCGCAGGCGATTGCGGACGAACCCGGGGCAGTGAGACACTGTGAGGTCTCTGGGGTGCTCCGGGGGCCCAGACAGCATCCATCCTCTCATTCCCTTACCATTTGGACTTGGGACTTGGCTTAGTGATTAGAGCCCCCGAATATGTGGTGAGGTCCCTCCTGTGACCAGGGGTGACGAAGGTGCATCGCCATAGCCACAGCTTGATGAGAAACATCTGTCACCCAGCTTCCAGAGCTATGTTAGGGCCGTGAGGGAACCCTGGGACTCAGTGACTTTGGGGATCTGCCACTTGTCGAATGTGACTTTTACAAAACCCTAGATTAAACGAAGTCGAGCTGAAGGTCCCTGTACTCGTGTATCCCAGGGTGCGGGTCTGAAACTTCCTCCCCCAGGCATCATCCAGAACCTGCCCCTCCCTGAGGACTTGCCTTCTTTATTTCTTTCCAGACCCCAAAAGTACTAGGAAGGTCTGGGAAAAGATCTGGCATTACCCTGATTGGTGACCACATGTGTGTCAAGCCTTTTAAAAGGGATGGATACTTACTGGGGGCAGGTGTTGGTGGACGGACCGCGTGGTGGGCTTCCTACCCGCTCTGGTTTAGAAGGGCAGCTTCCAAACCTCAGCAGACACGTGCTGGACAGATTCTGACTGGAGGTAGTTCGGCCCGTGGCTTCGGAAGTGGCTTCTGGCTGCAGTGCCTAGATCTGTCTGGGTCTCCAGAGGAGGAGACAGTTTCCCTGGCTGCTAGTTCTGAGACTCAGCGCATCTGGGGCATGATGAGTTGAGTGAGCCTCTGAATGCAGGGTGGAGTTAGATGAAAGAGGACTCACCTGCCCGTGATGGAACTGCCCGGGGTAAAGGCCTCTGGGCAGAGGGGTGCAGTGCGCTGGGGCTGGGGGTGGAGGGGCACAGGCGTAGAGCCTGCAGTTCTTAAACAAACGGTTTCTATTCCAGAGGGACAGTCACTAAGGGAGGCGGGGACTGGAGTCAGTATATCTATAGCTGACTGGCCTTTTTGTTCATGGGGTGGCTGTGGGTTGGATGGGAAGCTCGCCGGCCCCCTTTCCCTTGGAGGGACCTCAGTGCTCCCTTCTCCTTCCCGTAGATGCCCTCCCCTCCTCGGAGGACGACGATGACGATGATGACTCCTCTTCAGAGGAGAAAGAGACGGATAACACCAAACCAAACCGTATGCGTGAGACACTGTTTCCTACCTTACTGCCCTCCGGGCCTGGGTGTCGGGTTTGAACCGGCAAGGGGGAAGCTCTGGTGATTGTCTGGAGAAGGGGAGGAGAGGACATGTGGCATCACGATGCTTGCGGTGGGATCCCTCGGGGGATCAGATCAGTGCAGGCATTGTTCCCAGCTGGTGGGCAGGTGTGCAGGCGGGGGTCCTCGCTCCTGAGCCTGACCAGCCCCTGCCCGTCTTTCTCGTCTCTCCCCGGGCAGCCGTGGCTCCCTACTGGACGTCCCCAGAAAAGATGGAAAAGAAATTGCACGCAGTGCCAGCTGCCAAGACAGTGAAGTTCAAATGCCCCTCCAGTGGGACTCCCAACCCCACCCTGCGCTGGCTGAAAAATGGCAAGGAATTCAAACCTGACCACAGGATCGGAGGCTACAAGGTACATGTGTTCATATGAAGGTCAGAGTAAGAGGAGCAGGAGATGCTACTTAGAAAATCCTTTTTTATATGCCTTTGATTGTTTTAAATAATGCTTTCTATCTGTAAAATTAGAAAATCTTCAGATACAGAAAAGTGCCAGTAAAGTTCAATCTTTTCAGTCTTTTTTTCTTTGTATATGATTTTTACATGGTTGATCACATTGTGTATATAATTTCTTGTCAGTTGTTAACATTATAACATATGTCTTTTGCCATGTGTTTGAAAGATAATTTTTCATGGCTGCATAATGTTCCAGTATTACAATATCCCATCATTTAATGAACTGTTTTGTGATACAAGTTAATTTCCAGTTGTTCACTGCTATAAAGTTGCAGTGAATATCTTTGTACTTAAGTCTTTGTTACCATATTTTAAAATATTCTGCCTTAGGACAGATTGCTAGAAGTTACTAGATCAAAGTACAAGCATTTTTTTTTAAGCCCTTGACGCACGTCACCCAATTACTTTTCCCCCATAATTAGGTAATTTTATTTATTCATTCACTTGTTCATTTATTACGTGAACATTTCTTGAACACATGTCTTTCCAGAAAATGTACTAGGCAACAGAGTTCAAAGTACAATGGGAAGACAAAAAATTTTACTGTGATAAATTACTCTTAAGGGAGGGCGATGTCATGAGTTGAGGGTGTGATTTTATTTTTTTAATTTTATTTTATTGTGGTAACAGTTACTTTCTTAAAACGGAAAATGAATTCGCCCTCCCACGGCAGAGTATGAAAATGACAAGCTCACTCTACCTTCATCAACAAATTTGACACATGAAAGTATCTCATTGTTCACTGGCTGTTTTGCTTAGTAACAAAGTTAGAATTTACATGTTAATAAGCAGTTTCCAGTTCCTGGTGTGTAAATTGTTTGTTCGTGTCCTTTGCCTGTTTAACGCTTTTCAGAACATCAGAATCCCTCCTTTAGAGTCTCTGATCACGCATGTCATCCCTGTTTCTCTCGCATCTCACCTGGCTGCTTTTTTCTCAAGCATCTTGTGTAAGAAAAGCAGAGGTGATCAGAAAAAATAAGGAAACCTTTAAAATTAATTCACCAGACACTTGCTGTATGCAAGACTCTGTGCTCTGAGTGTTGCAAAGCAGCGTCCTGCGCATAAAGCATTCCACCTAATAGGACAGCAGGCATCCGTGACCACTGCCATGGAAAGCATCTGTGGGGCACAGAGGGACGAGAGGACAGTTCTGGCCGGAGACGGGGCTGGAGGAGATGGTTTTTGAAATGAGATCTCAAGGGCGGGCGGACAGGGCTGGACTCTTAGCAGGGAGCCGTTCTGGCACAGGAACAGC